AATTAGCGGGGAATGAATCGCTAGCTCAGTGAGTAATAACACTTAACCACATCCGTTTTTTAATTTGGGGACAAGTCAGAAAACATGCTAGTATATCAAACAGAAAACAACATAAAAATGCCCTTTCAGAAACAATAAATAATTTTCAGTCTTATCACGCTTTTCTTGTAGTAAAATATAATTAACAATTCAGTAATAAGCTCGGTAACCACTGTATAATATCAATATTCACATTTTGGGAGGTTTCAATGAACGAATCATGTAATCAGTATAACTGTGGACTTCTTCGCAAGAAGTCCAATATAACGGTAGTCCCTACTCGAGGGAAATCGGTAACAGTATGCTAGTTCTACCTTCCCACTAGCGAGGGCTATAGTTGTACTCTGTAATCGGTAAATACAAGGTGCACCAGGTCTAACGAACCCGTCGTTAGCTACAAGATCCTTCAATGTCTACTCCCATTTATACTTGTCTCTGTAATCCGCATATACTCATAGAAAATAATTTAAAACAATACAGGGCATTTCGGTATTTATCAAATCATGTAATTTCCTTTCGATAACAGTAAATTCAAGAAACGGTCAAACAGATCTAGTGACAACGAAAATATTTAAAGCAACAGTAATTTTCTCAAATAACTAATTCGGTATCATATCGAGTAAAAGACTTGTCCCACATGCAACCCAAAATAATCAGTAACATATTCATATTAAAAATCATAAGTAAATCATGCAAATTATGAAAACACAAATTGCGTAAGATTACTACTCACAGTACTCGTGCCGAAACACAGCTGCTTCACCTCAAGCAACTCGTACAAATTCCTCCAATCAATCTATAATTACATAATATCGATCTCATGTTAATTTCCTTATTTAGGCTAATTCATAGCTATTTTAGACCCAATCATCGGGGTTCATGTTTGGATCTTAATTTGCCCAGAATAGTTCTTATTGGTATTTAATTTCTTATACCTTGTGAAACCCTTCAAATATATGAACTGAGATAAAAAGAATTACCAGAAGAAAAGAACCCAGATGAAAAATTCGAATATTACTCGTAAAATCAGTGCGTATTTAAGATTTCTCAAGATTTGGTTCCACCCTTCTTCTTCTTCCTCTTGAAATTTTGTTTTCTCGGCAAAACTGAAGCTTCTGCTTCTGCTTCAACGTAGCAGCAACCAAAGGTTTGCCCTTTCTTTTGTTTTGACAAAATGGGCTTCGGCCCTTTTTGCTTTTACTTATTTGTTTTTTTTTTTTGAGTTATTTTATTTCAGTAATTTGCTCCCTCTTTTTTTTTCTTTTAGTTATTATTATTATTATTATTATTATTTGCTAATGACCAATACATCCTTATTAAATATAGGGTATTACACAATGTTCAAGCGATGATGGATTATTTACACACAAAAAAAAGACGGAAAGTAGTAGCTATCCTACTTGTAATCTGGAACAAAGTTTTGCAATTACAAGGTGGGGAGGGAGAAGAGTGTAATCTGTTGTTGAGCAAGGCAGACATGCATGCCTGCCCGAAGAATGTTTTAAACTAAGGAAGATTTAAACACTCCAAAGAAAATAAACCATGCATGTCAATGTCATATATAACATCCAACACAAGGAAAATTAAAGTCGCTAAACTATCACGTCTCACAAACAATTCTTTAATTGGTTGCATTTTACATCAACATGCATGATATTCTATTTTCATTTAACAATTTGTACCATTCTCAATTGCATGAAGCCATGAAGGAGCATAAATCTTATGGAATAAGCATTTAATTACTTAGTCGCAATAATTTAACACAGATATAAGTTATAACCTTAGTTAGTTTAAACTATTACGTAATATCCAATAACTTTTGGGATGAACTTTCTTGTTTGTTGAATAATTTTTTTGAAATATTTAAGTCATCTTGAAAGAATAACGTACATTTCATTCACATGGTATAATCTGTATCATTTTATCTATGAGGATACTAGCAACAAAGGAAAAAAC